AGCATATATTTGCTTACGGTACTGGAAGAAAGTGGACGTGAGACAGAACTCAGCTAATTCGGCCCATTCCGAAGTGAGCCCACAGGAGCAAAGTTTCCTGCGTATGACAATGTCCGCCTCGTCCACAGGAACCATTGACGAGGATGTCCGAATCATTTACGCGATGTTCCTTAAGAATGTGAATAAGGTGGGCCAAATTCCTGACAGCTGACTTGATGTCGTCAGAGGCTAAAGTTTTTCGGCCTCATAGCGGGCGAGAGGGTGGGTGGGAGAGTTAATAGCGCTCAGAATGGGGCGCAGTGGCACGTCGGGCTTATGTATCTTAGGGAGACCATAAAGCCAAGGGGTACAGTGGTTGCCACGTTTTAGCCAAGGTTTGGCCTCCGGCTCTACAGCAGCCGAGTTATTTACCCGTGTCGCGACCTCTCCCCTCAGCTTTCGTACGGGGTTGCTTTTTAGGACAGTATAGGCCTGATCTGTCAGCAATGCCTCAACTTTAGAATGGTAGTCTATGGTTTTCATGACCACCGTGGCATTTCTTTTGTCTGCGGGGACTACAACGAGGTCCTCGCGCTTATGTAGTTCGGCCAACGCTACACGTTCCTCGCGTGGCAAGTTACTCCATTGCAATTTAGAATAATTCGTTTTCTGGCCAATTCTAAATTGCCATGCATGTAAACAACATATCTAAATGAGGAAATATAGCAATTTCCTAGAACGCATTAATAAAAGGTATTTCGAATCAAATTGGAATACTTAATTTTGAGAACTTCACATTCACAACATGTTGTACAGCATCGGAGAGTAGTAAACGTAGATTTGAAAGGATATGTGTCCTAATGTTTATCTCGAGTAGTAATTTGCGTTTTTAATTTCAAATTTTCTTCGAATCCATAACAGTTAATTAACCTTCATGTATTTCAACATGAATTCTGTGATCTATAACTTTGACACGTTAAGTATTTCTACTTATAATGAATGAGTGTATCTGTATGACTCCATGAGCAGTGCTTATCGACGCAGTTTTCAATATCATTTTTTTTAAATCCCAAAGCTAAGACGGGGAAGAACACAGGAACAGTAGGCGAAATACAAAGAACAACTAACTTTACTCTTGGAATTTAAGAATACACAATTTTATATCAAATTGATATTCATGGGACTGCTTATCAAGGCATTATCTGGTTTAAGGATCTGTGAATGATCATATATTGACATAGATCCTTTTGACTTAAGGTAACAGTACTGTAATGATAATTCAGCGGTTGTCACTATTTTAAGCGTCTTTAGGTGAACAACAAAAATAAAAAGCAGAAAATAGCATGTGAGCATGGATATTGTATGCTCGGGAGTCTTTCGCTTTATTTTTTTAATTACCTACACTAGATTTCATTGAGATATAGTGACATCAACTGTCACATTGTGTAAATGTTCTAGTTCACTACTTTGCGTGTTCAAGAATTTCTTCACTCGTGACAAATCTCGGTATATCATCTGGTACTGCAGCCGAGTAACCCTCATCGAAATTTTGTTAATGATGAAATTCTCGACATCTCGGTAAACATCAGTTATGTTGAAAATGCAGAGTATATGTATTTCAGCTTTGCGAATTGTATATTCAAAAATTATTTTTTTGTTAAATAATGGTTAACTGTTTTATGTAGTGTACTTCTCACATACCCCACATTGGATTTCTTTTTCTTATTATTGATTTTGTATCACATATATTTTTGTTACTTTGTTTCTTGTTGTTAAAACTCTTTTTAACAACAAGCTAGAAAACTTTTCAGAGAAACATTTTCAATTGTTTACGCCTTAGTCTTATTAATTTTTAAGGGGAAATCAATTGCAGAAAATTTAAAATTCGTCGCTCAACACTACTACAAATTTTCTTAATATCAAACAACATACTTAATGTCGTAGCATCATTATCGATTTTTCTAGCATACAACAGCAACGGCAGTGCCACGCCTGCGTGAGGCTCCTTATCTTGACGGGGCGTCAAATTAAGGGTTCGCGGTATCTCGTCGTCACTGAGGGTCATTTTCGTCCTCACGTGACGCCGTACCAGGTCAGTCTTCGTTAGGGCCTCCACCCGTCTCCTTGCCACATGCTCCACTATCTGTCTGTGGGTTGTAAAAATATTATCTGGGTTGGGTTATCTATATTACTATATTTCAAATGTACACATAAGTTGTCGAAAATCTATGCCGCCTTCGGCAATGTGAGAGGTGGCTATTGTTTCATTAGATATCCATGAATATGGGAACAATCCAAAACAATTAAACGATTTCGACTTTGATGAAAAAATGCAAATTATTGATTGTTTGATTCCGCGATTTTCTGAACGCGCCGACAAAATTCGCATACTCAATGCATCACTGCTTGCGATGCAGCTGACGCCAGGCTATAACAAGGCTTCAACGGGAGAGACCACAAACCCTTCGTTTGTTATTCACTTGTTAGGGTAAGAATCAACTACTTTTTCGATACTTTTGGTATGTAAAGAACGGTTGTTCCGTGTATACGTATATACTCAATGTGATTAAGGTATTCGCGAAGATTGTTTTTGTTAAAATATTTAATGTATTGCAGTTATATTTTATTTGATTTTCTGGAGCAGCAAAGCTATTTTTTTGCTTTTCATGAACAGTGTGCGTGCTCCTTTTTTAAATATAATTTTTTTTGACTTTATCCAGTAGTGTTGTTGCTGCTACAGGACAAACATGTTAAATATTTCTGGCGCAGATGATCAACCTTATATATAAAATAAATTCTATGGAAATTGCTTCCTTTCTACTGGTAAATAGCGTGAAAGAATCAGGTGTCTCAGTTAGGAAAATTTTCATTTTTTTCTCAAAGTTCATGAGCTGCAGTACTATATTCGTAATTCGAAACCAACTAGGTGATTAGCATACCTCTTTGTGAACCACTTGCTTAAAAATTACTTTTTTTATTTTGTTCTAGTTTTTTTAATTTATTTTCAAAAATCCAATTTTGTTCCAGTTGTAGCCTCTCGAAAATTTCATTAGTTTGGTAGTTTTCAGTTTCTCGACTCAGTAATAGCCACCCCGTTGGCCACCCCAATCTAAGTGGTTAAGATTACACAGAAGTTGAATGCTATACTGCGATTTTTGCCACTCTACCCCTGGTAAGTATCATCGGATGACAGTTTCAACCATTTAAAGCTTGAACGTCACCATAGTGACGTCACTATGGTGTCGTTCAAGCTCCCGATTGGATGAAACAGCCAACAGCTGATTCCTGCTAGGTGTAGAGTTGCATAAATCGCAGTATAAGACACAACTAAACTACAATTTTCAGGGCATATTTTAAGAAATTGACTTTCAGAATTAATTAAATACTCACAGGCAATAGTAATAATACAGTAGCATTATAGTAATAGATTTAAATAGTTTATTGCACTTTCTTTCTTTTTCTGTCGTAGAATTGCGCTTTCTTATCAGCGATTTGAAGTTCATCATATCAATTTGTTCCAATAAGCATCATAATTTAACTTTGTTTTAATTGTTCTGACGTGCTTCCCAATAAGTGAAGAAAGATGAAATGTGTTATGTCATATTCTACCTAATATAGTATAAATATATTCCAATATTCTTCACCAGTTTTCTGGTTATTTGCCAAATTGATTTTTGTTCGAAACGTAATTTACTTCCTCCTTTGTTTCTTCTCTAGATTTTTGGTTATCAATTTTTAAAGCAAGACTCGTAACATGTGAATCGATTGAATTACTTGGCATTCGTCTATGGTTATCAACCAAGTGATGTATTTTCTTTCCTATTCCATTTACATTCTTTGGACATTCTTGTCAGATCTGATAATGTTTATTTTTTTTATCATTCAATGGATGATCTATAGAACGGAGATTAATTTTAATACACGGAAACAACAGTAAAATATAATTATTAGAAACCCTTGTTTTCGCTCTTGACGATTTATATATAGGGGACTTCCTTATGTTGTGTATCAATCTGAATCAATAGTGAAATGTGCTCATTATCAGCCAAGGGCTTCGCTTTTGTCGTTTGCTCAACAGCCCCTTTCCGCTGTGCGCCAGGCCTCCCTCTCCAGCCTCCGCTAATTGGGCATCGAGGGTCCATTTGCATTTAGAGAGGCTAGGGAGGCGAACGGCGGCTATTTGTCTCGTCCATCTGGCCGTTATTGACGCCCCGTCGCGCACCTGCCCGAGCGGGAGACACCGCAACTGTTTTGTCCGCACACCTGACCCATTATAGCTCTGCTCGATGGGCTTTTAGTTTCAGACCTCGTGAGGGATACAGGAGCACCGTAAAGCTCAGCCTTTCTGACCAGATACACGGCAAGACTTCAGAGTTTTTTAAAGAGGTTAAGTACTTTCACGAGAAATCTATCTGTTCCCAGAAATCAGAATGTCGTAGTTATCAGTTGTAGTGTTGTAAAGATTCTTGTTGAAATTTCGTCTCCAACACGTGACCATCACTTATCAAATGTGGCCTATTATTCATCCATTTAATGTCTATAACTCTCTCTCTCTCTCAATCAAATACATACCTGCAAAGCCGAAGTGAAATTTCCTCATTGCTCGGTAGATTCCATATCGTGAACAGGGCTGCTGTTGTCTGCAATCTTCTTCAGGTCATTATGTATCCTACGAACGCCACTCAATGGTACAGAGATATTACTATAAGAAGAGGCGCTTTGAGAGCTAGTGCTTGGCCACTGCTGACAATATAACTGCGAGTTACGACCATGCATATTTTTTGTCAGTGCGTTCATTTACAGTTAGCTCATTTGTAAATGGCTTCATCACTATCTCTTAAAATGTCATCCCCCTGCGTGACGTTTATTTGTTTCCCGACCTGTCAAAGTGGTCCCTTCTTAGATTATCTCCTCGACAAATGAATATCGCAGTGTCCTCTCACAATGTGGCGACTCCGCCCTGCAGTTTTAGCGTGGTTTCTTTGCCTGTGTGCGCTAACGTTGTGATCTTGTGTCCGCAGGGCATCACCATCAAGCCGCTGGTGCGCATCCTCAACGTGAAGCGGCAAGAGAAGCGCAAGCCCACGATGAACGAGCGCATCCACGAACGGGTGAGTGCCCGGTCACTCCACGCAGCACACTCCACGCTCCACACTCCACGCTCCACACTCCACACTCCACACTCCACGCTCCACATTCCACTGCTTAGCGCCTACGCGAGGGAAACCATGACGCCAATTGAATACAAGTCTGCCAAATCTTGTACATTAAATAGATGTTTCATTATTGTGCAAACTATTTAAATTTCAAACATCACGTTTTTTAGAACAATGTGAATTTGGGCTAATTGTAAGATATGTGCCTATATAAATACATAGAACAAATGTATTCGCTTGCCGTTGCTTACTGCTCCGATCAATGTGCAATGTGACTTATTCCGTTTCAGTTTATGGACCATTTGATGGCTGGAATTGAGGACATTCTAGGTCATCACGGCAACTACCATGTGCGTGACAAGTACGTATATTGGAAAATAAATATTTTAACGAGTTTTGAAGTTTCCTTTCTAGCGAACTTTTCTCTCACGACAGATCGTTATGAGAAAACTCAGAAGAATAGTTATAAATTATGAATGAATCTCTCAAAGTCGTCTTACTTATCTCATCCGTAACTAACTAAAACATTAAATAAAATGAAATGGAGGTAATCGCAAGGTAATCGCAATGGTGGCGAGGTAATCGCGAGGTGGAAATATATCAAAATAAACAGAGATATCCCTTAATAATGTTTCAACATTCATGTCTCTATATACGAGTAAAATACTGATATTCCACAAGATATCTAACATCATACTCCAATATAAAATACCAAATTTTTATCAAATATTAAAATTTTTATACAGTTGTAGACAAAATATTCATATTTCGTGAGCGAAGTGGGTGTTTTTTAAATGGTCGAGATTGAATCTTTTGTTCAGACCGTGGGTCGAAACTTACTATAGTTGTAAACTGTGTGATATAGAATATTAGCACACTTCAGCTCTAATACTCTTTTTTTTAAACCGATCTCAGCGTTTCGTAAAATTTGACTTTTAGATCATCTAAGAGGACAGGCGGGATTTTTATTATAATCCTTGTCCTTGCTCAGGTTCAAGCGTTTTGACAACCGCTTCATCCGCCCGCTGCTGATCCGCGATCACCAGGGCGCCGAGCCCAAGATCCTCGAGACGTACTCGAAGCTGGCGATGCGCGATGCCATGGAGTACATGCGACGCAACGCCAGCACAGTGGGCAACATCTCAGGCACCGAGTCTATGAGCGCCATCTTCCGTAACTACACGGCCGGCAACTTCAACGGCAACCTCAACGGAAGGTAAAGTAAATGGAAACGAATTTTCAATGAACTTTTGAGAATTCCATATCAATTAAGTATCATTCTACGCACCATCTATTTGAATCATTGGCTAGTTATCGCTTCTGTAACTCGCAACATATTTTATGGAAATTATTCCCTAAGTAATTGCCGAAAGATACTCAAATTCACAATAGATCCTCATTTAATTTAAGGAATAATTCAAGTAAATAATATTTCTATAAATAGAAGCTTTGAAGTACTTGTTTAATTTTAGTAATATAAATAAATCGTTTCCATGCAAACATTATATAATTGGCAATATAATTGCAATATATTGGCTTTATTCCATGACAAAATAATAGAAATTACCACAGACTCAGACCAATTTTGCAGACGTTCGTGAAATAAATGCAATAATGTTGACATGAAAACATAGGCATCCATGGTGGGCGTCCAAAGATCCTCGGCTGTCCGGGAGACGCCGCGTCCTAGGCTGGTTAGTCAGCGCCTCCCGATCAGCCAAGAATTGTTTTCAACACGTTTGATTGAAATTATTCATTTAGATGTTGATTAATGTATTCTGTATAATTCTGAATGTATTTTGGTTTAAATTCAGTGTACCACCTACCACGACCGACTCCACCCTCATCGTAAGACTTGACCAAAATGAATTTCAAAATAATTACTCACGTGTGTGAACCGACTATTCTCTTCTCGTATCACGTTGAGAAGGATGAGATCAATTTCATCTCCATCAGCACTTCCACAATTCATGTTGAGATGCCTTGCTGAATTTTGGTCGTGTCTCTAACGCCCTTTTCGTCCTCCGGCGCGCGCGCAGTTTCAGCCAGCTGGACTCGAGCACATGGAACATCGACATGCAGGAGCTGGAGTACAACCCGTCCAAGAAGGACCTGACGGACGCGCGCATCCACCACCTGCTGGACGAAGAGCTGTGTAAACCCTACCGACGGGTGTGTACGCCCGCCGCCGCCGGCGGCCACGCCCACTGCAAGGTCACGCTCATTCTCCGCTCGTGTAGCCGCCCTCCCGCCCCGCCCGACACGCCACGCCTCGCCCGGCCGACCGCCCGCGGGACCGCCCACTTTATTCTCTTGCCCTTCTATTTTCACTTTAGTCCAAGATGTATTAAAAATAATGCCGTAAACGTGTTAATACATTAAAAAGGCATACCGATCTCGTAGCCATAATTCGAAAGGTTTCAATGAGCTTGCCCACCGCTGGTGGGAGATACCTGGCCGGGAAAAGCCCCGCAAGCCTACGGTAAGCAGGCGCCGGAACTCGCTATCAAGAGGGAATTATCCGCGCCACATCCCACGAACAAAAATATGCACTACCCTTACGGGACAAACTACCTTATCCGTTGACGCGGCCAGAAATCACCAATCAATCCAGATGCTTCAAGAAAGTTGAAGCTACTGTATTTGCCTCACAGATTTTGAGTAGATAATATTTTTATATCTTTTTAATATCTTCTTTTATTATTGTTGATAAAACAGATGCAAATGAACAAGAACATGTATTAAGAGAAATAAGTCTTTAATATTTTTAATATATTTTTGCACGGTAATTTCAATGCAAATATTACAAAAATGATGGAGACCTAACTTTTAAAAAAAAGAAATACTTCTTCGTTTATAAAGTTGACAAATCTCCCGTCAATTTTATTTTCATCAACTTTGTTTGAGAGCACCATTTTCTGACGAATTGAAATGTGCTGAAGAACGAATGCGTTCTTCGAAAAACGCAGCCTAATTCTAAATTGTTGAAGGGAATCAGGCTCCACATTCAATTGAGTGAAACAGATAAAAACGATATCTCTCTTTGAACATACTTTTATTTTTTGGGGAATATTAATGCCGCCAGTTATATTCTTCGGACATCCCTGACAGAATGACATTCGTTCTGGTAGGTTCCAGTTGGAAGAATTTTATGACATACTTTTTAAAAAAAAACTAATTAAAAGTCTAAGAAGAATTTTGGCATGATATCATTTCATTTGGTTTTAATAATCAAACATGAACTATAATAAATATTTATTAAGGCCGTAAAATGTTATTATTCACTATCTATGTATTTTCTTCAGAAAATGGAGACTAAAATGTGTGACCGTTTGAAGTGACTGTATTATAATTATTTTTACATCTATTACCTGATATTCAAAATCTCTGTTTAAATTTTAATACTAATCTTTCCGTCATGAGCGCTATTAGCACTGGTATATTTGTATTAGGATCGTGGGGCTAAAGTCCCTCCTGTACAGGATAGGGAAATACGTATATTACAAGTTCGTAATATTTATCATCTTTTTTGGTGATGGGAGGGGAAACACATTTCTTTGTCTGCAAACAAAAAAACAACATAGACATCATTCAAATATATTCAGCACCGTGACCAATAGTACAGTTAATTTATTCCACGGTGTTAATCTGCGCCGTCGCCACTTTCCTGTGAGACTCTGCCGATAAAATCTTAACACAAAACAAGATATACCGTTTAACACAATAACAATGACTAACTTCAATTAACATTATTTGCAGAATTCTCATTTATACTGTGCACACTATTAGTTTGATGGTTATCAACGTTATTTCAAGGTATTTATCAAATTTATTGCAGTGCTTGGCTTTCTCATAAATATATATTTGGTACGCGCGGGGTAATAACTGGAGGTGTCCACTTCCTTGAATATGATGATGCAGTCGTCAGCCCGTGAATTCGGCTCCATCCACCATTTCACCATACCATTTCGTCAGCTCAGCTCGCCTTTACCACACTTCCTATGTGTTTCTATGTAAAACCTACTAAATTCAGTACTTCCATAGAATCCCAATTATCTAATTACTGAAGACTACTCATACTCCAACCCGCCCTCTTTCCGATAACTAATTTCACTCTCTCCAAAACACGAAAATTGCCAGCACATGCTGCACCATGATGGCGGCCCGGCATCTATGTGTCTATCTCTGTGTTTTCTCCAGTCAGTCAAGTCTTTCGATTGTTTTTTCAACAATTAGACAGTCAATTTTTTGTTAATTTATTGCATATTTTTATTAATCATTGTGACGAGTCCGAATGAGCCGTCACAAATGTATGTGTTCAGTAATATTGTGTAATTTACATCTACAACAATTCCCTGCACCCCCGAATTATAATTAAATTATTACTTATCAAAAGTATATGGCAGTAATAATTAAAGTGGTAATAAGCAATAATAAATACAGCTATAATAGTAGTGAATTAAAGCACGTTTGATGAGGCATTGGTCGCATTGACTACACCTTTTTGCTCCCTTGCACAACTCTTGTAGAGCCACTATACTTATTACTGTAGCACATTCAATCTAATGCAATACATGAATCTAAATACATGTTCTTGTACTTGTTAGATATGTTTACTATTTATTAGGCAACAAGACATTGTTATAAAATGCAAAATCATCTTTTAAGCAAACGTATTGTATATTAACCAAAAAGTAAGAGTTACGAGAGCGTTTCAACATTTTGCCAGAACTGTCAATTTTGTTCGCTTTGTTGATTATTGAGGTATTTTCGCCGTGCGCGCAGAAAGAGACGTAAGTCCCAGGCGGCGTCCGGAGAGGTTGGGCGGCTCGCTTTTATTCTCTTTTCTTCACAATCAGCCTCGGCCTCAGTTCGTAGAGTTGTTTCCTGCACTGTTCCTCCCTAGGTGTTGGCTTTCGCTGTAGCGGTTCTATGTAAGGTAAGCCCTCTTTTTTCTCTCCCTCAGAAAGTCCACTTGAAGAAGGTCTAGATGCCGAAAATAGTGAGAGCAGTCAATTGTCAATTATCCCGGATTAAGTGTCAAACTTAAAATTAGAAAAAATAATTGTGATTTATAACGTATTTTTGGGATGAATCGCTATGAATCGAAAGCATTATCAGTATTATTTATAATATGAGAGGTGGATGGTTTCGTAAGATCTGATGAAATAGATTGTACTTGGCACACCCAAAAATAATTTAAATATATTATCAAGAGTTTCTCTAAGAGTATCAAGACCATAATTCCAAAATATTTTCAATTAAATGAAAAGCATAAAAATGAAATAGTTGTATGAGTCGTCAGTTTTCTAGTACAAAAAGAAAAACAAAAAAAATTAAAACATGTGTTTTTTGTTTGTTTTTCTTCTTGTACTATAAAACAGATGATGTTGGCTAAGCCATGGAAAGCTGCTATTTTAATAAATAATATTTTTGGCAATGACGACTCATACAATTATTTCATTGGAAATGACAACAAAAACTTACCACAATACCAATGAAAAGCATTAGCCAATATTCACGGGAAGTAATTAAAGAAGTAAATTATGGAAAGTATAAACTCTAAAAGAAGTAATAAGTGCACTCCCAACATCCAAAGAAGTTTTGACAAAATAGTTTATTTGCCATTTTCCACTTCTTTCTATTTTGCAATCTAGTAGTTTTCTTTACAGAGTTACCTGGTATTCTTTTTACATACTTTCCATTTTACTAATATCCCAATATTCCTTACAATGTATCGACTTCGTTGTAATACAAATTGGGAAAGAAGGGATGATCTAGGACTTAGAAAAAAATAATGTGAAATTTAATACATAAAAATAAATACTGCATAATTCACGTCGATCATGGGATAATTGACAACTGTTGCTGAACCATATCCCCTCCACACTGCGGTGACGAGCGATGACCTTCCGTGCCAGCGCTGCCAAAATGCCCTCATCAAAATTCATTACCCCGGGAAAACCTCCCTTCTTCTCTGTCCATGGCTAGAATTAAATAAAATATTTGTTTTACTGCATTCATAGTTTTCTTGCCCCGGAAAATATTATTTCTTCAATTGATAGTTACGATTTTGAACGTTTATTTAGTTACTGAATTTTCAAATACTTATTCAAATTGTTTGTGTTAAGAAATAAGGCCACAATGTTTCAAAGTAAAATCAAACTCAATAATTAAACATCTCCACTTTAGGCATCGTTTTATGTGCTTATCCTTAAATCATTTTTCATTAATTTCTAACCTTGAACAGAGAAATGCCAAAATGTACCTTGCTGTGACTTTCATTTTACATAATAATGCACTGTGAACAATGTTCATATTACTCTCTCACTTGGTAGGATACACAGTGCTTAATGCAATAGGCTATCAACTCATTTCTTTTTAATTTTAAGTCTATGTTTTAACTTAACATACGTATACTAATATTTTCTTCGTGATGTGTGAACTAATTTATATAGACTTTAATCAGATTAACATATTTTAAGAATGATGTTTTCAATATAAAATGTCCTTAATCAGTCCTACTTACTAAAGAACTTATTGCCAATGAAATTGTAATACGAAATCACTTTTTAATACTGTTCATTTTGTAAATGTAGCAAATTCATGAGCTTATTCTTTAACGATTAAAATAGGTTAAAATAAGCAAACACTACTAAACAGTTTTACTTGTATTTATCTTCTACACTGTATTTTTGCGCGTCGCTCATACGAGAATTTTTTAAGAAGTGAGTAGTCCCACTCGGACAACACACATCTGATCTTTTCAAATTACATGATTTCTCGTGGTGAAACTACATGTTGAAGTCAGAGCTTCCATTACAATCGTCGTGAGCATAGACTGGAATGTAAGTGGTAGCTAAATTTCGATCAGTAGTGATCAGTAGCACAAATTAGTACGCAACAAAACATCAAGCGACCTAAGCCTCGCACACCCACGCACGGTCTCACGCACTCTTTCATTAGAGACGGTTCAGCTCCGCCCCCTCATGAAGGCCACAATACCGGTATTGTTACCTTTGTAGTGGCGCTAGAATGCCCCGCTTTATAATAGTTATAGATAATTACAGGTCTATTTTAAGCTTTTCTTCGAAATTCAATTTGTCTTGCATCATGTAGCTGAATGATTTGTTTGTTGAATGTGGGCTGTTTTCAGTGTTTGATGCATACTTGAATGATTCATTAGCAGTTGTAGTAGTTCGAGAAAGGTCCAAGGAATAATTTATGACATTTCCTGCATGATAGTTTGCAGCTAACAATGATATTGGACTAGTAAAAATCACTAATATTGTTAATATTTTGTTTTTGGATTTTCCTAATGACTTATTTTATTGTCTTTCAGCTCTGCGTATATAAATAAAGCAGATCAAACAAATTAAGACTGATTATAGTTATTACACTACATAGAATTAAAAAGTATTTTGAATTTATAGACTTGATCTGCTTGATAAGTGTGCAGTAATTTTGGCGATTCATTTCAGGACTTCGGATAAATATCAGAAACAATTGAAAAAAAAATAAAATAGAATCATTATTATCTATATCATAATCTATATTATCTAATAACTATCATTTCATCATCTAGCAGAAAAATCTTGAATTCAGTTTCTTGGATTGTAGAATGAGGAACCCACCAGAGCAGGTGTTAAGAAAGTGGAAATGAGAATTCATTTCACATATTGTTTCTTATGTTTAATTACAAAACTATTACGAGTAACAAATACCTGAACTTTTAAAACAGTAAAAGAGAATGACGATATTGAATTACCACTTTCTGAAAATGCTCACTGTTTACGTCTGCTGTTAATTATTTAACATTAAATTAAAATATTCTTTATTTTCCTTGCAAATTTACTTTATTAAATCTAAGCGTTATTTCCGTGTATTGAGGAAATAAGAGAACACTATATTCTCTCATTATACATAATAAGCGTGCTTTTAAATACAAAGTTCAAGTATTTCATATGAAATCACAACTAATTGGAAAATAAATATCAGTACCTTCTCTCTATTTTGATCATATTTATCGTGCCAGAACGTTATTACGTAATCTGTAAGTACAGAGTCGGTATGGAACACTGTAGGTTTGTCTTTGAGAGTAAAAGCGGTGCCTGGTGAATAGGGCCGTCGTGACCACCCCTAGTCCCCTGCACACAGCTCCTTTACATCCGCCACGGCCTGCGCCACCTGTCAGTGAACACCCGCCGCCGGGTGGCAGCCGAAGACACCTTCCCGCAAGAGCACGACGACCAGGCGTTCTCGGAGGTCACGGAGAGCACTCGCCTGACGGAGCACGTGGACGAGCTGGACGACGTGGTGGTGGACCACTGCCGGCACCAGCGCCCGCTGCGCCAAGACCTGGGCTCGGAGCCCGAGCCGGGCGCGCACCGGCAGCACCGCCGCCGCCGCCGCCACCGCTCGCGGAAGAGCGCGGACGCGCGCGAGGGGCCGGCGGCCAAGGGCGAGCAGGAGGCCGTGAGCGATTGGCGGCTGAGGCAGGAGGCCATGTGGTATGTAGGTATCGTGGCAGCCGCCGCCCACGGGCGGCCTCGGGACTCGGGCCCATCAGCCGGCTCACTCAGGTCAATTCTTCGCAATCTTCCAATTTCCAAGCCCTTCCAGCCAGCGTGCAAGCAACTCGCATTATTTACTATGCATTGTTTGAGTTATTTATTCCACTACGAACATGCAAAGCCGCCGGTCTGGATAATCGAGGCCGCTAAGGCTATCTTGGCTTGAAGAGTCACAGGTTCGAATCCGACCCCGGGCATGGATGTTAATGTGTTTCCGTATGCGTGTTCCGCTAGTGATACCCCAAAATTATAAAACCAAAGTTAAATTACAGTGGTCGCTATATGATCACACTAGATAAAAAGCGGCCCTAATAAATAAAAAGAACATGCAAAATCGGCTTTTGAAATTGAAAACAATTCTGCTGGAATGTAAGGCGAAAATATTGCAAGACAAACAACTGATTGTCGACAGCTCGGGGTGACTAGCAATATCTCTCTGCACCGCAAGATTGGAAAACTGACCTTTGTTTCACGCCGGAAGACATCGGCCTACGAAAAATGACGCAGGAGACGAAACGAACCTCTGTTAGCTACGAGACATTCGAAAACTCTTGTATGAGTCATATCAGTTCTTTGAGTGGTGTGAAATAGTTTATTGGGAATTGAATGTTAGGTTTTTTTAAAAAGTAGTAAAATATAGATTTCACATCTGTACGAAATTAAGGAAAATACGAATGTATTATGGAATGATGAGTAGAATTTCAAATAAATGAGTTTAGAGTTCGACAGCGATTATAGCTGCGAACAGAGTTTATAGTTAAAGCGTGGTCTCTTTGTTCATGTATATGAAATTAATGTTAAATTTTACTTTAATATTTAAAATGTAAACTACACGGAACCCTTTAGTAAAAGCTTGGTATTAAGTTTTTCGTCTGGTGCTGAAAGAGGTCCGTATCGCCGACCCAAGATATGATCAAACGTATCAAGATTTACAACATAGAAGAAGTTTTATACTAAGAAGGAACATCTAAAAACAGTGAAGATAACATTTGTTAATGCTGAATGAAAACAATCAAATTTCAAGCGAGAACTACAAAATTAAGAAATTATGAGAATAGAGATAATATATAGAATCGTAGGCTTTCACGTCCGGAGTGAATAGAAGATAATTTTTCCGGGCTGGTAGGTCGTGGTCCAATTGGCATTGAAGGGTCAAACGTTTCGTCCACGTCTGCGGTGGACATCCTCAGTGGCGGCAGGGTTGCGGGCGCAGTGTTCGGATCTGATCATCCGCCACTGAGGATGTCCACCGCAGACGTGGACGAAACGTTTGGCTCAACAATGCCAACTGGACCACGGCCTATCAGCCCGGAAAATTTATCATTTAGAGATAATAGTAGTTTTCAGGCTTTATCAGTAGACGTAAACAAATAAAGCTAAGAAAAAATAGCGCTATTTTTAAGCGCGTGTGCCTTCTAGACATTTCAAAGAAGTTAATTCTTTTAAATTTTATTATCTCTGCAATAAATATTTATTTAAAATTATCATTTCAGAGAGTTACGTAAAGCAATTATAGTTTTGGTACTTTTGCCAAGAATTCTAAATGTGCACTCTGAGCACCGCCTGACCGATCGCTACGATTGTGTGTTACAGCACTTCCCAACCCTTTATCACAAAAAATTTATTTCATTATATTGTATGCCTTCCCTTTTGAGTGTGTAGTAGTCTAGACGTGGATTAACAAAAATGAATATGCTCCAAATTTTACGAATTTCTTGAAACGAAATGTTATCAAAATGAATATCTGACTTCACTTTATTTAATTGCCTCTAATTCAGAATATGTTACAGCTAATAATTGAATGTGATAGCAATTTGGCTAATATAAAGAACTGCCTTAAAACTTCGACTTGTATATTCAGTGTTGCTCCTGCATGCAAATATGAACTTAAGCATTCTTCATTTGTACAATCTGAAATTGAACATAAAATGGAGATTTCATCAATAAAATATTAATATTTTGCCAATTAAAATTGAAAAAGAATAGAAGAAGCAACATAACGACAATGTTCAGTCAATAAATAATGATTAGTTATTTCAGTAATGATACTGCAATGTACAAAAAATAGTTCGCATTCCTTCATTGAAAAAATTAAATAATTCTTATATTCACTCAAAACTTCATTAAGTTTGAAATGTGCATAATATACTGAGGTCGTTGACTGATAATCGTAAGTCAGCAAACAAGTCAGTCTTGTACCACAGCAAAAGTACTATCGAAGTGACAACTAGGAATGTTGCGATTCTAGATTCGACAGCGTTTAATATCGATATCAACTTCATAAAGATGGTATACACAATATTGATATCTGTATATAATCGGAACTAAAATATTGATGTACCTCATATCGGACAGTATCAGTACACAATTTAAAATTCACTTTTGTACGATTATTATTGAGAAATCATAACATTTTCAAGCTATCTTAATGATTAATATATGATAACAACTAACACCCATATTTTTATTTTTATTATTTATAATTTCATACATAAAACTACACTAACTACGAATATATTTCACATCAATTATATTTTTATCAATAACGACACTGCAGTTTTTGTACCGATATCGCCAACAGGTCAGAATTGATTCTGATGCCACCAATATCGAATCAGAGAGTTTGAATACTTGGAAGTTTCAGAAGAGTCGCAAGTAGCGCTGGTGGCGTCTGTGGAGAGCGTGCGAGTGTGTGTGTGTGTGTGTGTGTGTGTGTGTGAGGGAAGGGGCGACCCGCGTAGGCTGACGAGTGCGTCGCGCGGTTGCAGCACCGGCGCCTGAGCTACAGCCGTCATGCCGTCAACGACCGCGACCTGTCCACGCAGGTCAACTACCGCATGCACATGAACATCCGGCGCATGGTGGGCGAGCGCAAGCACCACCACAAGCGCAGCAAGCGACTCAACAAGGTGAGCATACACATCGTTATCCCATCACCATCACCATTCACCATCATCATCATAATCATTATATTATTATTATTATTATTATTATTATTATTATTATTATTATTATTATTATTATTTCTGCTATTTATGATTAAATATTTTATGAGTCGGTTAAATATAAAATGTACTCCAGGTTGCATCGTTTGGTGGACGTTTACGTCCAGCTCTTGATATTCTTGAAGAATACATTACCTTCCCAACTGTTAGTTATTACATACATAATGTAGTCTTCATAAACCTGAAGCAGAAACGAAGACCCACGAAAAGTTGTTTTGGAATGAAAACAATCTATCAATCAAGCTTTGGTTTCCCGTTGTCATTAAATGACTATTCTCAAGGGTCATTTCTGGAATTGTATTATTATTATTATTATTATTATTATTATTATTATTATTATTATTATTATTATTATTAAAATACTTATAATGGATAATATTACTCAAATACTTATGTGGATGTTAGGGGTCTTTTTTGACCCCAAATGTTTTACACAATAATTTACAAATATTTGATGTAGGAATGTTATTTGGATTTATTAATTGAAAAAACTATGTTATTCATTTGATTTATTTACTATATTGTACTACACGGCAAGAATGTTGTTTCCAGAAAAAAACATTCTAGCATGTCCTTATTGCAATACATAGGAGTCTATCTTACCTGGATGAGAATGTTTAAAACAGGGCTACTAAAATGATATAGACAAATACACCAAATTATCACATGAAATGGACACGTTTTTACAATTTTCCTTGTAATTAGATGTCAGATATGACATATTTTACTCCAACCGCAAAAAAATCAAATTATTTCCAACAAAAATATAAATTTAGAAAACTGAAGAAATTACAACAATGGAAAACAAGACGTAAATAGCATATCTAAAAGGAAAAGTTCATGTGAATAATTTTCATAAAGTTGCGAAACATTATTTGTTCCTGAGATAAAAAATGACCCCAATCGGAGTTTAAGGGTTAAGATGTTTCTCTTTGTCCTTGGACACATTTTGATCGCTATATTTAAAAGTAGAACCAATTTTTTTTCCCAATTCCAAACAACAATTTCCAGTTTCTTTGCTGTTATTATACAATTAATATGGATTTGCTGATAGCACAGTATTGCACAAGTCTTGGAGAGCGTCCATACCACATTTTCGTGAGGGTGTACTACGTATTCAGACTGCTAGATTTGGTCAAGTCGATGTGATCCATGGTTTCTGCCAGTTCCTGACATATATGTTATTTTTATTTTTAATATTATTAATAATAATCAATATTATCCACTGTCCCTCTCGAGTGGTGCGTTGTTTAGCGTCCTCACTTTCCTAGGCGCAACCCCGGGTTCGATTCCCGGCCGAGGCAAATTATAATTGCGCGCTTCCCTTACAAATGACCCAGTATCTATTGCTGTTGTATAACGAAGAAAAAACCCACCCTAAGGCTAAAAAGATCAATATGTTCAGTGAAAGGAGTTTTCGTACTAACCACGTGAACTCCTTATCCCATGGCCGAGAGGCTGGGTCACCGGCGGTCTGCCAAGGCCCGCATCGGGCTGTCGAGCCAAGAACAGGAATATTAACCTCTTCTGTGATTCCACTTCGTTTATTTGGAAACTGGTAGCGTTAAAAGCCTGTGGAAAGCCTGTGGAAATCCGGCTCTCTAAATAAATATATTACGTTGGCTGCGATGACTTCCTTTATTTCATCATGTAAATATGTCCACAATACCACATCAGCATTTCCAGAATATTTTAATATAGTCGACATCCAAATACCAACCGTAACTTACTTTCATAGAGTCGCGATTTTCGACATCCAAGCTTTCCGAGGGTTCATAACTACACTGTCCATAACTCATAAGAACTGTAATAACCGTAAAAGAGATTTATAAAACATTATATTTTAAAATGTTTAATATTGACGATAAAGTTTCATTAGATTTCATTAGAATTCAGCAATAACCCTCTCCCCTTGTATTTAGGAAAAGTGTATTTTTCACGTAGTTGTTTGCGATTCCTGATTCACACTGTATCCAAGTTTGCTAAACTAACACTAGTTGAAAACTATTAATAAAAATTTTGAATTTTGAAACATGCATATGGTATTTCCAAAGTTTCATTAGTCAGAAAAAATTCCCACTAACGAGTGCATTGTTATAATTACGAAACGCACGATGCTGTGCGCTTCTCAACTATGTTTTGCTGGCTGCATACTGTCAGGCGTAGTACGAGGGTAATCAATTTAACAACAGAAAAACAGCATTTTTCTTTCATTTTATCATGTAATTTAAAATTTTTTAAGGCGTAATTGTGCATTGATCGTCGTGATTCAATGTTGCATACTTACATACAAAAGTTTTTACGTGTAGTGAATCTACAATCATTTTGTGAATATTTTTGTAATTATTTTGCTTTGTAATTGACTTGTAATAAGATAGTACTTAAAAAGTTAACAAGATAACTATTTTTTGAATTATTTAAATTGAAAATAAATATCATCTTCACAATTCTCTTATTTTTTCAGGATGGCAAGCAGAATCACGTTAGTTTCCCAGGCATCACACAAAATGGATCTGCCAAGCAATTCTCCAACGGTAAGAAAATCTTAGAAGTTCCATATATCTTATTGATCATAACTAGCCTTCTACCTAAATCAGCGAAAGATAACTTTAATTTTGGAATCAGAAACATTGCTCTAGATGAACATTCCAAAATATATCAGGGCGGAACGAATACAACGAACACAACACAAATGCAAATGAAAGCTCTTTAGTTTTGAATGCAGATATCTCTTTTCGATGTTGAATTAAAGAAAATGTAATACAATTAAACAAAACTTTGCAAAACTTTGCATTTTTTTACAGGAAATCTTGCATAACGAAGTGACTTGAAAATTAACATGAACATTTGTCTCTGTTTAGTAAAACACTTATCCTGCACTGCTAATTCGAGAGGTACTACATTTCCTGCCGCAATCGAAGAGACTTTTCCTACGTGTCAAACACCAGTGCAAGATGATTTCGCAACCAATCAAGGGCACATGACACACTTGTAACTTTATTTTAAAAAAATTCTTACCATAAATTTATTGCTGGCAAATAGTTATTATCTTCTCAAGAAGTTTGTAACATTTATTCTGAGCGATTCTGTATAGCGTCCTCGTAGTTCCCAATATGTAGGATACTGACGATATCAAATATTCAAAAGAAATATTTTGTTTCGTTCTCTCTCTCTTTCTCTCTCTTTCTCTCTCTTTCTCTCTCTCTCTTTCTCTCTCTTTCTCTCTCTCTTTCTCTCTCTCTTTCTCTCTCTCCTTCTCTTTCTTTCTCTCTCTCCTTCTCTTTCTTTCTCTCTCTCCTTCTCTCTCTGTCTCTCTCTTTCTCTCTCTCTTTCTCCCTCTCTCTTTCTCTCGAGACGTTGTTATGAGCGCGCGCGTTGCAGACTACCTGAACGAAGTGCTGAAGGAGACGGAGGACGACGGGGACCCGGAGGTGCCCAAGTCGGCCAGCAAGGAGGACTGGGAGAGCGCCATCACCTTCACAGCCAAGTCTGCGCGTGAGTGGCCGTCGCGGCGCGCGATTGCTTCGCGACCCTGCTCCCCCTCGCGCCCTCGAGGTGTCCGAACGATGTCTAACTCTCACCTTTGCAAATTGCTGTTTTCTCCCTTCTCAGGTCGTCTTCCTTTGAAATGTGTGAGTGTTCTTCTGCGCAGCTTGGGATAAGATAGTCAGCTTTTCGAAATAATAATTCGAAATAATTTATGAAGACGGTATCTACACAGTTTCTTTATTGAAAACCTTATCTTTCTTCTGTTCATAAAGTGTAATATGTAATAATCATATCACAATACCGATTTTAGCGGGTTCAAAATCATTCAAAGTCAATAACAGAAAGTCTTTAATTATCACGTCTTCATTCGGAAGTGAACAAAAGCAACGTGAGCCATGACGTGTATTTATGACGTGTAAAAGAGCTTAAAGCCTAAAATACGTCTCTAAGAAGAATTTGAATAGGACTTTACCTCTCTTAATAATGTGTTAGATCGAGGCCAGACTACCGAGGGGCGACATACCTTCCCACTGTCACCCAATGTCTACTACTACAAAACAATCGCAACGAAATTAATTAATGGTGAAAAAAGGAGATCGTCAAATCTCTGCAAAACAGACATTCAGCCAAACTTGAAATATAGGTTTCCACGCTGGAGTCAGTAAATTCTTGACTGTGAGCGTTCTAGGAACAGTTGCCAACGATTCGTCCTAACAGCGACCTTTCTCAGGGCGAAATACGCCGAGGTGGACTGCGATGTGTAAATAGTGAGGTTCCCTTCCATGTGGCTGCCGTTTGGTCGTACAATCGGCCAATGCGGAAAAAGCATCGATCAATCAGACAACGGTCCTCCTGGGTGGGAGAAGGAGACTTCTGGAAGGTTGTCATCCCATCAGCTGACAGAAGAACACACACTCTGCAACGTACTTATCTCGGCCCGAGTCAATGTTGCGCCCCAGAAGAGACCTAGACGGAACAACTCAAACATTGCTTACGTTGGAGAGATCAGAAAATGAGAGCCTTTGCAAAGGACAAAACAAATGTTAACTTTCAAAATCTATGTTACTTTACCTGCAACACTTGTGTGTCGTTGTACATTTATAAGAGTAATGACGGTCATTTTAAATTAATATTACTTCTTTTTAAAAAAAATACTGACTTCCACACTAAAACTAAATCATGAAAACTATAATTGTATTATTAAGACTTTAATTATTGAAAGAAAGAAAAAGATTTTTCTCCATTACAATCATATGACGCGTCTTTGGTGTCAGTATGTTAATAAAGGTAACGAAACGACGGTTACAATCATTTTCGCCATTTAAATAATATATTTGTTCTTTATTCGAATCTATATAGAAAAATGTACATAAAACAACCATTGATAACAAAATCACATTTGTAACTTTTCACAGTGTTTGGTATTTGAGTACGTGTTTGTCCTGGTCTCTTCTAAAACAGCTTTCAATTCAACAACATCCATCCCATTGTCATCTTCCTGCGAGTTGTTGCTCTAACATTTAATATCTGCAGTGTGCTTTTGCAGTATGACTCATGTGTTGGTTAACTAATGAGCAAGTTGACTTCGTCTTCTTCTCAGTCTCTCTTTCTGCCCATCTCTCCTTCTGTCTCTGCGTGCCGAATCGCATGTGTGACGCGACTGCGTAAGCCGCCCGAAGTGTGTGTGCCGTGCGGTGTGCCTGCCGAGACTTTCCCGAAGGCCCGGGAACGCAGATTCGAGACTCCCGGCGCCCCGGGTCTGTCTTCTTGCATGAGTTGCCGTGAAGGAACCCTGCATTTGGTGAAACAAAAATTACGTTTGACCGTGACCTCATACGTATCCTTGTCAATCGGACAGCCTGCCCCAACCACAGCATGAAGAGACGCCGCGAGCGGCTGGTTGGGAGCGCGGGTCTAGGGCGCAGACATTTTCCGCGAGGAAGGATCTCCACAAGGCCGTCTGTACCAGTCATGAATCATATGAATGCATTGCATGCGTTTCATTTGTAATTTTTTGAATACACAGCAATTTAATCCTCTTTTTGTGGAATAGCAGGTTGTCCGCAGTTCGAGAGAAATCCATGACTGGTATCTAGGAACTCAATAGAACTAAGAAATAATGTTTTGTTAATTTATACCTCTCATCACTTATGTTTTCATACACACGCAAATTAAGTAGAAAGAGTGGCCATAATTTGAAATTTCAAAATATTATGAATGTAAACAAGTTTTTAATTTTTTTTCAAAACCACTGTTCCAGTTATATATTTTTCTTACATAAGCATCCACTAAATGTACATGCAGTTGCATAGTAAATTGCTTTAAAAGAGGCATTTCACCTACTTCATTACTTTTAATTGCCATGATAAATTTGCATTGTATAATACATTGGACGACAAATTCTGTTTCAAGGATTACAATATTTTATTAATAAATTCTGAATAATTTTAGAAAGTTTGAAATTTCATCACATTCAAAATCAATTTGTTGTATTCTTGGCTAACTTTTAGAATCTCACTTTCGTATTACGGATTCATGAGTTCAACATTCTTTGGACAAGAAATGTATATCATCGCGACATTAGCAATACTTCGAAACCGAAAATTGAAAAGAAGAAATCTGGGAGAACTTATCAGAGCATCAAAAATTTGTCTGTTATCGCGCTGCTTTCACTTTGCTTCATCGCAGCTCATGCAGCGAGAACCTAAAACATTAAACCATAAGATTTGCAAACAAATATTCACTTCTCTTCGCTACAATGTTCTTATCATTTCTTAAGACGATCAAAAAAACGAAAACAAAATACGAAGCAATGTTAAAGGCAAAACTGGAAGATGTAATTTATGTATCACAAGTTTTCTTACAAAAGGTGTGAAAGGAACGATATAAAGCAAGAAGATATACATATAAATACATTAAAATTAATGAGCCATTATTCATGGGCATTCAGTCAACGACCCAAAATTGAAATTGTCTCATGATTGTTAATCTTTTTTCGAAACAAATACGTCATAAAATTAAAATATAAAGATATTTATTTATTTTATTTATTACTATTCAAAAAGCATTTTTAAAATGAATGTGACAGATGAGGGAAAAATATAATCTTCGCACTTTTCTTGGACTCGGAAGTTTGTGTGTTTCCTCGCCAACGGCGAAATGTTACTAACAAATGTTTTAAAAATATATGAATATTCGAAAAGGGTAGAATCCTAAGAGAGGGTAAATAGTTAAAATCAACCGTGTTTGGTGAGAATTGAATTTTGTTTGCAACTGAAAGATAAACAGACTGGCACGGAGAATCAAGATGCTAGATAATCCCCTAGATTCACCGCCTTCATCGCCCCAAAAACAGTCGAAGAAATTGTTCGTTTACTAAAAAAAAATTTTTGTGCCCAAGAACTTAAGGAACTAGGGTGTGTGCTTCTGTAAATTCTTTGGTCAGATATTGAGGATAACATTGTTTCTTTAAATGATATCCGGAATACATTAAAATACAATACAGTGTAAACCACGCAAAAGCGGTAACCGTGTGAAGCGATGATTGTAATCATGCAAGAATCGTCATATCTTAGGTATGTAGTTTTGAAGTCATATTCAGCTTTTTGAATTTTTTAGCATTTTCAATCAAAGGTTTCCGTGTCACCTATATAGTAGTCAAAAACTGCTTGTTAATGCTCATTGATATTTCCTAACATATATTACTGAAGTTCGAGTTAAGAAATTCAATAAAATCATCCGCTCCAGGATAATGGGGATTCAAAATTATAGTTATTGTCATACACATGAATAATCACTATGCCCATCGTGCAAGTTGCATTAAATTCAGTGGCTGCAAATGTTAAGAAATTTCACTAACATTCCAAAGTAACACTATTTTTGAAATAATTACTTTCAAAGCATTAAGCACAATACCGTTTTTTCAGGAGCAATACCATCAACGTCTAAACGAATGTACCAACGTCTTGTTAAACAGAAGTTCTCAAAATATACTTCAGGTACAACAAGACAAGTTTATCTATTAACAATTTTAACTCAGAATTAGCATTATTAATAATGTATAAAATTAGAATTCTCATTACTTCATTTAATGCGTGTAGAAAACGTGCCTGTAGAAGATAGTTTGAGATCATATAGTTTATAGGTCAGATTTATTTTGACTCCCATTAAAAATTAAATATTATAATTTTATGTTTGCAACATACTATTGTAGTAGTGTGCTGATCACGGACATAATACGTGATGCAGTGATCATGTAGAACGCATATTTTTTTAGAAACAAATTACAAGACAAAAACTAAAATTGCAAAAACATTCTTCGCCATTTCCAAGCGAGAATACTGAGACAATCGAGAGACGGTAAGATTCCCACTTTGTGCGGAAATACTTCGTGAATTAACCTCATTACGAGTTTTATAAAACTGTTTTCCATTGTTTTCATACGAAGTTTTCCACACAAAGTCAATAGTAACAGTCATGTAGAACACATAGAATATATATTTTAAACATTTTAGAAGAAAATATAATAGTTGAAGTATTGTACATTAGTCAACCAAAGACATACGGACTTGCCTTGGACAAAGACGTTGGCGTTTCAATGTAATTAGTCTCTTGGCCAAAACAAAATTTGATTTTGGACAATCAGTAGAAACCGACCGGTGATTGCAGTACGATTATTTTTTCCTTGCGACAATCAGTGTGGGAGAAACGCAGTGAATGGAAACCAAAGCAGTGTTGATTAAGCTACTGCACTTAATTATCAGAATGTACGAACTATTGAATAATCCCACGTTCTTTTCGTCACTTAACCCCTCAAAACTTTAGCAGAAAATTCGTGATTATGATAAAAAACATCTTATCATAGATTTATCCGAGAACTTCGCGTTCATGGCAGCCGCTAAGTTCACCAACAAAAGAGAAACTTCATTTTCAATAAATTTAAGATATGTACTGCGTAAACGCAAAATGCTGCAAGTCAAAGGCAACGAATTTGATCTGGCGCCTCTGGCTTTTCTTGCACACAACTGTGTGGGCTGTTGTTCATCTCACGTTGCGGGAGTAAGCACACACAAGCCTCGT